GCTGTCTGTGTCATGATGTCCATCTGATGTCCAGCCCCGCAGCAAGAGGTTATTGGACCCATTAAAGAGGAGACATTCAAATTCTGTGTCTGAGATTTTTCTTTAGCACTGGGAGCCTTTTACAAAAAGGTCACAAACAACAAATAATGGAAAAAAAGGTTTCGATATAAATGTTGATAAACTCTTTTTCTAAACAACTTTGAATGATTTTGAATATTTTAAAAAAACTCACCCATCTAATAAACCTTATACTTATCATACTAGAACATCTTCATGTGTAAAATAAAGTTCACAATGATTCCTATATTCTGATTCATACTGTGACAAATTAGTGCCCTCCTCTGGTGAAGAGAGGTACTGTACGTCTTGCCCTGAGTGCAGGTCGTGTAGTCACAGATCTGCATGATAACCAGAGAATATATGAAGAGACTTAGAGACACACATTGAGGCCGTTCAGACTTTAATTAGAGGACTGACTGAGACTGTAATGATTCCAGGATGTGTTGGTTATTAAATATATAATATTATGTGTGTGTGTAATTTTACACAAATAAGGACTTAGGGACGGATTGTCACCTGTCTTTGTAATTATCAAATTTTATCTTCAGTGTACGTACGTACGTACACACACACACACACACACACACACACACACATTTGTTTCTGGCTTTATTTCCTTTTTTGTTAAAATTCTTTAATCAGTCGGACTTCATTAATCGATAGATAGATAGATAGATAGATAGATATAGATACCTTTCAAATCCCATTGTTTACAGAGACACAGATGTGCATGTTCTAATGAGAGTTTTACCTCACTTTTTTCTCTTCAACAAAATCTTAGGTAACATTTTATATTAAGGTGCTTGTAATAAGCATTAATAACAGGTAATACGTCACTTAAAAGACCTTATTAGATTCTTATTAACACAAATAAGACTATATAAGTGTTAATATAGGCATAATTAACACATTTATTATGTCTTATAAGACACTTATAGGCTTGTAAGATATTATTAACAAAAAGAAACTTGTTTATAGACCACTTATCAAAGTTCACAAGATGTTTATTGACATTAATGCAACTTTATTAGGTTCATATTAATGCCTTATAAAGGTTAATAAATACTTTATTATGCACTTATTAAGAGTTAATAAAGCTCCTCTGCAGGTACTGGATCTAAAGTGGGAACACTACTTATAAAGGTTAATAAATACTTTATTATGCACTTCTTAACAGCTCAGTGGGAACAGGGTCCAACTTTCAAGTAAACGGAGAAACAAAAAGGATCTATTATCTTTAACGTTAACTGTAAACAACATTATGAAAACACTTGGTGTGTCATAGCTACCAACATATCTGATCAAATTCAGGGAAAAAGCATAGTTGTTTTTAACCCATGTTACTGTAAATAAAGTGTTGAAGGTGGACAAACATCAGAGGACCAGAACACCTTGAGCCCAAGGTCTGAATACCAGTCAAGAGACGCACACAGGAATACATTTTCAAACTTTGTATGTAAGGAACACAAATATTGCTTGTCAAGATTACAATATACAATTATACAATACAATATTAATGCAATTAACAACTCATTTAATAAAGTGTGCACATGAAATAAAACAAACATCTGAAGTGTCTAAGCCCAGTCTTCTTCGTTGGGGCTCAATCCAGGTGTGTTTTTCTGTTTAATCTGTGCTCTATGAAGTAGCGAAGGAAGTTCTTCATTATTCTCCATTATGTTTGGAAACAGATTTATTTCTGCTTTGCGAGAAGAGGATGAGAGAGGAAGAAGCGCGAAGGAGAGGACAGAGAGATGAGTACCGTTATAAACAGACTCAAGGATGCTTCAAAGGGATTTCATTCTGCACTTGCGTACATTTTTAGGACCCACAAGCAGTATATCAAAACAGCTGGTCAATTCTGAAGAAGCAGAGGCCAACTTATTCTGACTTTGAGTCATTTATTTTTAAATCTTGTTTGTGCAAATATTTTCCAAAAGTTTCCAAATTGTTACAAAAGCAGGTTATTGTGAGTCAGTATACAGAGACAGGCTTTGCAAATAAATGGGCATTATATTATTATATGGTTTATTTTTTCAAACTAAAATATTAAAAGGACAATATACAACTGTTTAACCAAAACTCACAGTAAAAACAAAATGTCATAATAACATACAATTCCAAGTCCACGAAAATGTTGTGTTAACTCAATATTATACGTTTATGTCACCTCAACTACATGAAAGGTTTCCAACTTTGAAAAGTGACTCGTATTAACTTACAAATGGCGAGCTCTGTCGAACCCACCGTGCTCACAGAGACAGGTGGTCCATCTATTGTTAATGCAACAGAAGGCGCAACTGTCATCTGCAACATGGGATGGAACATTATCACAAGGCTTGAGCACTTTTAAAAAAAAACATGTGAAACACGGGTCCTCTACTACTTCATATGTGTGCAGAGTAAATTAGAGCCCCAGCTGGCGGGGGGCGTCCCAATGCGATCAGAAATACAGCGTGCAGGTTTTTCTGCAGTATCTGACTCCTGCTGAGTGTGTGTGTGTGAGTGTGTGTGTGTGTGTTGGCTCCGTGCTAGGATCAATAGGAAAACTATGACTTGTTTTGTGCACAAATGAAAAGTTTTGATCTGACCCTAAATGTTGTTGTTAAATTCCTCCCTGAGGCGACGAGATCTGCAGGAGAGAGAGAGCTGAGGGAAGTCGGGCGTGTTACATCTAGAAGGTGGGCGTCTTTACGGCAGCAGCCTCGGGTTAGAGCTTTTATTTTATAGGATTATATAACATAGGAAAAATACTATCGGTATTGAATAACTGATGTTTTCTCTGCACTGTGTTGTTGTGTTCATGTGTTTGTAGAATATTCTGTCTGCAGAGAGATTGAGACTCATCCATTTAAAGAGGTCTGATTCATGAAGCTTAGGATCGTCTTCACCACAGCACTGTTTTTTCAACTTTTATCCCTCAGTGGGTGCTTCCTCAAATCTGAGGAAGATCATCTTGTTATCAGCTGACGTCCTGAGTGAGGTCTCGTCCAATCAGTGAGGTCTCGTCCAATCAGTGAGGTCTCGTCCAATCAGTGAGGTCTCGTCCAATCAGTGAGGTCTCGTCCAATCAGTGAGCCCGTGTGATGCACGTGTAGTCATTCAAAGAAGAGGATGTTCAAAAATGGCTTTTAATAATAAAAAAAGAAAGAAAAGGAAATCCACCGTGCTGACTTCTGCCTCGTTAACACAAACCTTGTAGATAGAAAATGACATTGGACGTCGACACAAAGCGTCCAATTCAAAATAAATAAATACAACTTCCTCCCAAAAACGTGTGAGAAACAAAAAAAGCGTAACATCTTGTCTTACAACAAAAAACAGAGAAATCCCACAGATACACACCAGAGTCTGTCACACAGAACAGAGAGAGAAGAGAACATTTGACAAACTGTGTGTTTTTTACTTCTCCATAACTTGATGTTAATTTATGAGATGAAACAATCAGTCGAGGAATCTTTTTAAGAAAGAAATGTCAAAAAGATTCAGATTCCAGCTTCTCAAAGGTGAATATTTTCTGGTTTGTTAGAGAACAAAACAAAATGAATACCTTTTGGTTGTTTGACCCTCAGGCATCAGTTTAATTTACAACCCTCTTAAGTCACTAAGGACAAAAATGTCCACTTACAAAAAACTGATATAAAAATAGAACAGATTGATATTTTTTTCTACTTTTTTAACATTAAATAATTATCAGGAATTTAACCCTTTAAATGCCAGTTTGATTACTTGATTCTGGCATTTAAATTCCTGATAATTACTCAATTAGTTGATTCAATTGATTTACTTTAGAATTTATGGGGGGGAGCTTATTATTTATTATTAGTGTCATTACAAAACATTTCTTAATATTTCAGAGAGCACAAACGCCCCCGTTCAACACACCAGTGCTTTAGTGAGGCAGCAGATGCTAGTTAGCTTGTTTAGCTTCCACTGCTGCAGTTAAACAGCAAACAGGAGAGACTGCAGGCTGCACTGATCCCAAAGCTGCCGACAGAAAATGTTTCAATTTTGGAATCATGATTGAACTACACGTCACCACAATGCACTGCGAATGAAACCTCTTCTTCTTAAATGAACCTTTAGTTGTTGTTATCGTGTTTAAAGTGTTGTACTGTCTTGTAGTTTGTGTTGTTGAATATATGAATCACATTCACTGCAGCAGGACAAGGTAAGTAGAACGAGCCGGGTTAGCTACCTAACTAGCTAGCCTGCTAGCGGTACTATCTGTTGGCAGAGGGGTGGGAGACATTGCCATGGTAACAGCGTGCTCCACCATCAGAGTTGATTGAGTGATGGAATATTCGATCAGGAGTCTGCATGTTGTGTTTTATTTTGAAATTAACCGGACGCTCTGTGCGTTTCCTTGTCTGACTTCCTGTCCGGGTCGAACGACTCCGTCCAGCTTCACAAGGAGAGCACATTAGAAACAGAGCATTTTTCTCTGTGTTGTAAGACTTATGCAGACCACAAACAAAGGACTGGATGGTTTATTTCACATGTTGTGGGTCAGTAGACTCTCAGGTTACCCAGATATATATTAAAAAACACTGAAGAGGATTTTCATCATACGTCCCCTTTAACACGACTTCTGTTGTTGTAGGAGTGAAAGCAGGAGCTTTCAGAGAGCTGGACAAACAGAGAGACCACACAACATGTTTACAGCCTGGTTAAAAAAAGTTGGAAGTTCTGGGTAACTTTGTGCAGCTCTACCAAATGTGACTTAACTAAGTTCAGTTCACTGAGTAAACATCACAACAACACAAAAGGTCAAATCGTCTAAGAAGAGGGGGAATACATTTGGAAACAGGCTACATTTTACTGAAGCAACAAAAACAATTATTCATATTGTTGCATCACACTGCCAATGTGCACGATTGTTAAAAAAACAGACACACGTGTTAGCCGTCAAGTGTATTTTATTATCAACAAGAAGACATTCACAACCCGCTGTCCCCTTGATAGTGCACAGGATGGCCTTCTTTGTCACATTTGATTATAATAGATCTCTGGCCACGTGTACCCACGTACTGACACTTAGGAGGGCTGGCTTTCTGGTTTTTCAGTTTGCATTTGATAATTGAGAACTTGGTCGTGCTTTTGGTCATTGATGTCAAAATTTTGTTAACTATAACTTCATACGGCTCTCCTTTCATACAGACGGCCATGATTGCGCTCTTGTTAGAGAGGATGAAGGTATTGATCTCTTTACATTTGCCCGCCTTGTTTTTGATGTTTCTTCTGTTTATTTCAGTAGTACAATCGCCCTCTTCCATCTTGTCAATGACGTGCTGTCTGATAAACTTGTCGTGATCATTCTCAGCAGCGGCGATGCAGAGCACAGAAAGCAGCAGCAACAAAGCAAACTGGATCCTCATGATTTCCTAAAGTGAAGAAAATGTGGAAAGAGTGATGATTAGACATTTTCTGTCAGAGGAGGTATGTGTCTACGTTCTGTTACAAACTGTTATTCTCAGTCTGAGATCAACAGAGAGCATCTTGATCACAGTCTTGTTAAATATTACAGCTCAGTGGATCGCTCAAGAATTGACAGAAGCTGAAAACTATTAAATCTCTATTTAGTCAGATAAACACTTCATTTAAATGCTGTGCAAATGATATCATTTAGGACTTCATATTAATATTGTGAAACATGAATTCATTCCTTATGTCATTCAGACTAATCTGTGAAAGTCTAAAGTATTAAAGAGCTGAACATGTTACAGTGAGAGGAGAGAAAAAACAAACCTTTGGAGTTTGAAGTAGAGCGGCGGCGGTTGTTGTCTTCGTCTGGTCGTGGCGTCTGAAACGGTGAAGAGTGTGGTTTTGCAGAGGAGCAAAGGTGTAAGCATCGGAGGAGGGTCAGAGCAGTACACACAAAGTGAGCAGGCTGACTGACTGACTTTCTGACACTTCAAGCCCCGTTTTATAGGAAAAGACGGTCGTGTCCTTTCAGCAACTGTTTACTTTACCAACTGACTAATTTCCCTAGAAATAAAATATACAGCTACAGAGCGCAGCTGGCTGATAAGTTTATATGGTAGTGCCAGCAGAAAGTTTCACTTCTTTACTGAAGGCCAGTACTGGTTCACTTTCATTTGCTTAAACAAGATAATACATTACATCTTTCCTTTTTAGATATATGATGAAACAAGACCGTAGAAAATGTACTCATCAGTGAGGTTTCTGTCAGAAACATCAACACAGCATGCACATCCAAACATTGAAGTACTGGGTGCTGAAAAAACATCCAAAGATAGAAAAGTTCTGAGTCCGCACACCAGAAGCTGCTCAATGAAATTGAATGGAAAAATCTCCTGATGTAACGCTTCGGGCCTCGCCCTTCATCAGACAGGTTTCCATCAAACATGACAGTTCACTAGGATTCAACTCACATTCATCATGAAAGAAATCTGCTGAGATGCTGTTCTGTGACATCATCACACGCAGGGCCGTAAGCTCAGACCTGATTGCTGAAGTGCCAAAGACACATTAAAAAAAGACTAAAAACACTTTGACCTATCTTATTACCTTCTCCCCAAATCCATAAAGAGTAGTAAATGTCTGCATGGGAAAAAGCTGCATGCCTTTTAAACCCGGTGGAGAGCAGGATAAACCCACTGAAGCAGCTGTTCAAAATTCAAAGGGGGCATTTCCTTTTCTCTTTCCTAATGTTCCAGCCTACCTACACATGAGCTCAGGGACGAGGAAGTACAGGTGCTGAGGGTGCTACAGCAACCCAAAATCAGGCACAATTCAGCTGTAACGCACCGCCCGGCTCCTTGTTGTTTAGAATGAAGAAGTCTTGAATAAAAAACTCTTCTCCATAAGGATTATGTACTAAACTGTATAATACCGTTATTTTACAATTGTATTTATCTTAAGAAATTAAGGAGAAAAGCGCTTAGTGGCGCTGCCCGACTAGTCTGCTCCTGGTCCCGGAGCGACTGGTGTGACGGTGAAGGGTTTACAGCATGAGAGGGAGAGACGAGTGAAGTGAGGGACGGTACAGCTACACTCAGAGGTGAAGGGTTCAGAAACAAGAACTTTAATTTATCATCCGTTCTGATGTCACCCAGGTTAGAAAGCTGTCTGGGTGAGTTGGGTGTAAGAGGAGGACTCTCATACAGTATATTTCAAAGGGACTCATACCACGTTTGTTTCTTATGTGCATCCGCATGTAGAACACAACCAATGGCAGAGCTTTTACATGAGTAAGTCCAGTGACCTCACAGTCTTATTTCATAAACATGGCATCCTTTATTTGCTTGTATGAGGGGGGGGGGGACACTTCCTGTCATGATTCAGTCTGTAGTTTTTGTTTATTTCAAAGTTTCGGTTCCTTGTGGTTTTATCCTAGTGTTGCTTCTTTCCCTTGTTGTGTTTTTGTCTTAATGTTTTATACTTTAGTCTTTAGTGTTTCTTTATGTTTTAGTGTCATTTTGTTACATTCTTGAATTCTGTGTGTCTTCAGTGTTTCATGATTTAGTTTGTAGTTCTCCTCAGTTTTCTTGTATTTTATTCTGTGTGTTTCCCTCAGTGTGATTACTCTGATTGTCTTCACATGTGTCTGATTACCCTGTGTCTATTTAGTCTCGTGTTTCTTCTCCCTCTGTGTCAGTTCA